TGTCTCGACAGGCCGGGGGCTCCGAGGCGTCATGTGTGGGACCTGGTGGCGCGGTGGTCATGGGTTGATGCGGGATTGGAGTTAAATGACTACCAATATTCGCTCCACACTGCACAAGCCGTGTGAGGGTCACAGGGCGCACTGTCTGATGAGTCCGCGATCAATGACTACCAATAAAGCACGAGAAACATGGAGAAACAATCAACTAGAAACATCATGATGCGACTGGACTCCTGTAGTCGTCCCCTGTTTCTTACTCACGCTAGGAAATTCACAATGCGACAAATTGGTTTTCGAGTGCGCAAGTTGAGGAGGTGTGCTAGCTAGTGTTTAGTTGTTTGGGAAGGATCAGGAACATTGACAGACGCAGACATTGCTTATAGGCACTGTGTCCAGCTATGTCTAGCTTGTTCCTGTTTGCTTGTTGTCTTACTTTAGGTCTTTGTGCTGATACGTTGGTTTTACTGTGTTGAATGCGTTTTGCAGTCGCGTTGCGCGACCTCCACAAACCTGGCTGAGGTAGCGGAGGTGGTAAGTCTATGTGGAGGCACGTGGAATTCACCTTTCAGTGGCTTCACTTCCGGGGCATAAATAGCTGAAGTCATTGTAATTTAGGAGTCATTGAACCTCGCAGGTGTTTCCCGTTTGTATGTAGTTTTGATTGGTTTTGGTAGGTGGCATCATATACATCACCGTGTCCTCAGATGTTGCAGCGAAACATTGGTTGTGATGGGATTCTTTGCTACTTGAAAGGCAGTGATTCGGAGTTGGACCATTAATCTAGACTTGTTGATTAATAAAACCCCCCCCAATTGAAGAGGTTCAATCCATGTGCATCTGGTTGGGGTTTGATTCGACACTTGTCGGCTTCAGCCCCCACCGGATTTCTCGTGCCCCCCACCGCAAGTGCGACCGCAGGGCTTGGGTCCAGTTGCTTCAGCAGCTCAAATCGCAGGCAGAAAACGCCGCGAAAAGACGGACAAACAAAACGACGCGTCACCGATGGGCGGAAATGGGAGAAAAAGGTGACTGTTGGTGGTTGAATGTGGTTGAGAGTGAGAGACTAGGAGGAGACCAAAAAGCAGTAGTGGTTGGTGCAGCTTGGAAGAAGATAAACAGGAATGTAGATCCATATTGGGTCTTTGCGGCCTCCGTTCAAGCTAAACCCAGTGAAAGACGACGTACATACCGTGAAGATAAGGTGGATTCATTCACCACTGGTGCAAGGGCTTCGAGCCCTCAAAAAGAGAAGTTGAACCGTCTATCAATGTATTTGTATAATGTTATATACTGTAGGCGTAGCCGTAGCCAATATGGCAGCAACCGTCAGTAATTATCACTATTCTAGAACAGGGCCTTTATTCTATCCATCATCATCATCATCATCATCATCATCATCATCATCATCATCATCA